AAAGGACAAAGGTTCAGGTTGGTTGTTGATGAGCTGCTGTAAAACCGCACCAACGGCAGTTTGTGATGCGTCAGTCCTGAGAACGAGAGGTGCATCAACATCAGTTTTCACGTGGGTAAGCGCGGTGGCGTTGGATAACGCCTGCTTGATCTTATCGAATGCCACAGTAGCTTCTGCTGTTGACTCAAACTTTCGGAACTTGCTTTTTAGTAAATCTGTCAGAGGCTGAAGTAGCCGGGAACAATCTGGAATGAAACGATTGTAATAGTTGACCATCCTCAGGAAACGACGCAAACTTTTGAAGGACTGAGGCATTAGGTAATCCGCGATTGCCCGCGTCTTTTCGGGCAGTGGGCTAATACCATTGTAGTCGATTCGGTGACCGAGAAAATCGACACAGGATTGACCGAAAATACATTTGTCAACGTTAGTTGTCACGCCATACTGAGCAAAACGCTCGAAGATCAGACGGAGATGTGACAGGTGTTCCTCATCGTTGGAACTGGTGACGAGAATGTCTTCGATGTAGGCGAAGACGAAGTCTAGCTCTCTAAGAACTTGATCAATGAACCTCTGAAAAGTTTGGGCAGCGTTTCACAATCCGAAGGGCAGACGGACAAATTCATAGTGACCAAAGGGGGTAGTAATGGCGGTCTTTGGGATGTCGTCTGGATCGACAGGAATGTGTTGGTATGCACGAACTAGGTCGATTGTAGAGAAAACAGATTTGCTGTGCAAGTTGCTAGAAAAATCATGGATATGGGGAATTGGGAATCCATCGGGAATGGTGACACTGTTGAGCGCCCGGTAGTCGCCACATGGTCTCTAATCGCTGGTCTTCTTGGGCACCAAATGAAGCGGAGATGCCCAGCAGCTTTTGGAAGGGCGGATGATCCCGAGGTTAAGCATGTGTTCCAACACTTTCTTGGCCGCTTGTAGTTTATCCGGTCGAAGGCGTCTTGGCTTGGCAGACACAGGCGGACCGGTTGTGACGATATGGTGACAGATATCTTGCTTGGGCTCCAGAGTGCCGTCATCTGCTCTAACCAGGGAGGGAAAATGTTGCAGTAATGACGAGTAGCGTGACTCTTTAGGCAGAAGTACTTGAATCTTAATGGATTTGACCGTAGCAAGCTGGCCAGAAACAGTTAACGATGTAGTACCATCTCGTATCTTGCCACATCGCAGGTCTACGACCAGGCCGAATTTGGTGAGAAAGTCAATACCAATGATGGGCTTCTGTCAATCGACAATTAGGAAGATGAAGGTGAAATTACGTCGTAAACCAAGATTAAGTGTCAGCAGTCTCGGCCATACGTCTCCATCTTGGTTTGGTTAGCTCTCTGTAAGGTAATTCCGGATAGTCGCAGAGCACGTTTTTCCAAGTATCGAGGTATAACGCTTACCACTGCGCCAGTATCAACCAAAAAGTGCAGTTTGGTGGTGGGATTGAAAACCTACAAGAGGCGACTAATGGTTTGGCCAGCAGCACCTGTCGCCATCACTGACTGGCGTTGTCGTTTCCCTGCCGAGAATCCAAAAACGTCTTCGGGTATTTACAACCTGGACGACAATTGCGAGCAGCATCGCCGAAACAGCGGATGGAAGTAGCAGTACCGTACCTCAAGGTACGGTACTGGGACCCACTCTGTTTCTCATCCACATCAACGAGCTGCCCCAGCTTCTACGGTCGCCGTGTGCACTGTTTGCGGATGACCTCAAAATTTGGCGAGAAATTAATACTCTCGATGACTGTGACATTCTCCAACAAGACCTCGACCGCCTCGCGGTATGGTCTGCTGAAGTCCACCTACCGGTCAACCCGGCAAAGTCCCAATTCATGAGTTTCGGGAAGGCTGTTCACTGCCGAACGTACACCCTAGACGGCCAACCATTGCATCCCACACATTCCGTGAAAGACCTAGGTGTACTCTCACGCTGCGACTTGAAGTCCGTCGACAACACCAACAAACTGTATCGAAACGGACTGCGCATTCTCTGGGCGCTGAAGCGCAGCTTCTGCACTTGGTCTGAGGACGTCGCCACTCGCCTCTTCTCTTCCATCGTCAGACCAATGCTAGAGTACGGCTCGCCTGCATACTGTCCGATCACTCGCGGCGAAGCGCAAAAGATCGAACGAGTACAACACGTCGCCACCAAGTTGATCCCCAGCTTGAGAGGCTTATCGTATGAAAACCGGTGCATGAAACTTGGGCTCTACACCTTGTTGTATCGCCGTGTTCGAGTGGATCTTATCATGACCTACCGTATTTTACATCTCGGTCATTTCCCCATGCTGAGGTCGTTACTCCACTTGCGAGTACCATGCACCACACGTGGGCACAGGTACAAACTCGTGGTACCTGATCTGAAGAAAATCCCACACCCCCTGTGTTTCGAGCGGAGGGTTGTGCACACCTGGAACAGTCTGCAGGACACGTCGTCGAGGCCGAATCTGTGCAGAAATTCAAATCTTTGTTTGATTTACACTTCGCTAACCTACGTTTCAGAGAACGGTTGCCACTTGACAACGATATCACCCACTTGTGACTCACTGTGTGAACAAGCATTTTGTGTGCTACAGAAGGAGTTGCTGAACCACCTCAGGATAACCACTGGACGTGTTTACTTATTTTTTTAAAATGTTTTTGATTATCACCCGATGGAGTTGTACAGAATTATTTTCTATTTGCTCCAAAATACAGTATTCAGTATTCAGATCGGCTGGTGCGGAATTGAAACGGCGCCTACTCCTTGAGTTGAATCTACGGTTAGCAGGTCGTTCACGACCGATGTGAGAGCGAGTTCTAACCGAGAAAGCCGTTCACTAATAGCGTCAAGTGCGGTACTTCTAGATGGACTGGTGATGCTCAGTCCATTCACATTATTCATAGCAGATTTAAAGAACCTTTCATGGACTTTGTCGGGCGCTTCGGTTAGTTTGTCCAACGGGAGTTCATCAGCGAGGACCGCTGAAATCACCGTGGTGCTTGCTGGAAGGCACTTAGTCCAGATCTATCGAAGTATGGAATCGTCCAGGGTCGAGGAACCCACAAGTGAACGCATGTGCCGGAGGAGTGGAGACGGGCTGCGGTCTCCAAGCTCTATGCCTGAAAGTAGCATGTGTAGCCATGCTTCATCGGAAGCCGTAGTGCGTTTTAGAACGGCTGATTTAAGCTTGTCATACGGCGATTCAGTTGGCCTCGGATCAAGGATATCGATCACCTCCGAGGCTATCTATAAAGGAAGATGAGCGGTGACGTATGAAAACATCGATGGTTGCGAACTGATCTTACGAAATCGTAAGATGGCCTCCACCTGAGTAAACCAAACACGAGGGTTTGAAATATCAAAGGTGGGTAACGAAAAACCAATGGAGTTTTCACACGGTTCACAGGGGCAGCGTAGTCAGACATAAAGGAAAAAGAAAAAAAAGTAATCAAAAAACAATTAAATAGACGGGGTCACCAAATATAGTGTCTGACAGAGAGTTATAACCGCTGAAGGTTTACGGCGAATAGGACCTTAGCACGATTGCTCACGGTCAGGTTACAATAGGTAAAAATCAGCAAACCTGTCCGATGACACGAACGGAGAAATCGAACGCTGATCCGTAAATAGAGATTCGACGACCGATGCGAAGCACACACACAACAATCGAAGGCTGCACAACGTCACCGAAACCAGAAGACGGACGAAATTCGAAGATGCTAATATATCTTGTTTGGTGAGTTAGAACAAATGTGCAAAAGTAGACGGAAAATAGAATAGGAAGTTACAACGAAAAATGTGAAGAGTTTATAAGTACTACAGAACCATCGGTCGAGCGGTGGCCTAGTGAGCTGTGCGTTAGGTTTGCAACCATAAAGTCACCGGTTCGAATCCGCGTAGGGGTGGACGTCATTGCGGTATACTCAGCCCGCGCGCGACTGGTGGTGGTCGAGCGACAGCGAAGCGCCGTTACGGCGTACAGCTGACACATTATTAGTACAGAACCATCGACCTGTAATTTACAACCGATACCTGAGCCACTCGACCACTGGGAGGTCTGGGTTCAGAATTTGGCATTTCTGTTAGGGTCTAACTGCATGTAAAACACTCACTAATTTGGCTTGTGCTTAATTTTTGTATGTTCTTTCTTGTCTGTTGTCAACAAATAGGTTTGTATTGTGTCGGTTTTCTCCTTCCTTATCCTATTATGTGTTTCTGCGCACCAAGCATCTGACTACTGTTACCCAGACGGGAAGCATGCAATTCGATGCTAATAGGTTTTCACATCTTCCTATGCCGAGTTAACAGTGCACCTCTACCCACTTTATTTTTGGGCTGCTACTCTTCTATGGAAAACAGTGCTCACCGAGATTTTGCAGTGTTGTAATCTCATTCGTTTTTAAGCTTCCTTTCTAAGTGCTTCATTTTGGCTGATGTTAGCACTTCCGCCCAGCCTTTCCTACAGCAAGTGATACTCAGTCCCTTGTCAAAGTATTCTGCACACCTCTATTGCTTGATCATTTTACATTGCCTTGTGCGCTTTTTGGTCATCCTGTCAGAGAAATCTGTTCGCATTCCTTACTCCATCGTATTTCTAAATGGAATTCAGTTTGTTTCATCGTCGTGTCTTATTGCTCTGACATTTTCTGTTTGAGTGTAAGCATTCATCGTTATTTTACCTCTGTCTGTCTGTCATCTGTCGGCCGGTGGCCCAGTGGTCTGCGCACTTGGTTTGCAACCATCAGGTCCCCGGGTCGAATCCGCATAGAAGTGGGCGTCATTGCGGTGTACTCAGCCCGCGCTCGGCAGCGAAGTGCCGTTACAGCGTGCAGCTGACACATTATTCATTTTATTATAAGTTGCATCTTTGCGATAACGTTTTTGCTTATGGATTGCTACTTCCATAGGTACCATAAATACTACCCTTTTTCCTGTCTGTTTTTTTGCGTGCACTTTTCCTAAATCTCTACTGCGCGTTTTCAGTTGCGCTTTTTGTGTTTTTCTCTTCAGTTGTGGCACAGTACTGAGTTTGGATTTGTGCCCCTGCGAATGCCACAGCGGAGCGTGAAAAGTCACTTTCGGTGAATCCAGTTCGCTCCAGCGGAATCGCTATGAATGTCGGTAAGCGTCAATTCCTTCCCCTTGGCTAGTAATGCATGGAGTTTAGCGGTCGCTGTCTTACTCATATTTTTCATTCACCTTCCGTTGCCCAGTTGTGCACATTTGTAATTGTGAGCAAGCAGCTGGCATCGGAACATTGTATTTAATGGCAATAAAAGCTCGAGCTTTACCTGACCCATAGGATAAAAAAAGTTCGGGTCGGGTCTGATGAAAGGCCAAGCAACCTTATAGCGGGTTGGACTCTCCTGTTATCCGTATCTTCATCGGGCTTATGTGGCATTTAAACGGAGTTTATGCCGGCTCAAAGCGTGACATCCCACCACGCCCTCCGAAACGGCTATGGAAAGGGATTAGGTAGAAGAGCAAAAAAGAAGAGAAACTCCATCAAGTAGAAGGTAGTTACCTCAGGGAATATCGCGGTGTAGCTCAGCCAGGCGGGTCTTAAAATCCGTCACAGTGGGTGCTAAGACTAAAAATCGGCAGGCAGAACATTCCACGGTCGGCAGATTCGCAAAGCGAAGTAGTGCCGTCTGCAGTTCGGCCGACTGTGCTGATGTGCGAGCCTCAGTGGATGGCCACGCAGGTGGGAGCCCGATTGGTGCAGTGTGAGTGGGTGGCGACAGGGATGTCCAAGGTTGGATAAGGTCATAAATATATATATATATATATATAGCTATATCGCATTTAGCTAACAATTCTTGATGGTCGGATACTGTCCTCCATGGCGCAGTTGCATAAGCTGCGGGCTAGTTGGCAAGAGCCACTAGCAGTCATGGGTTCGATCCTCCGCGGAGGACCGAAGGATGCGCACCACTGATGAGCCCCAATCGGGCAAAACGACCGTCTGGTGCTTTTCCGCATAGCTGGTCGACATATCTGAATTGTCGGCTGATTGCGACGAACAAAAATACTCACCAAAATCCTTCCACCCATAAGTAAGATCATAAATACAAGGAGCAGGTCGCCCCGGAGACGTCGGTACTTAAGTGAGTAGAGGCCCAGGCAGTGAAGTCGTTGTGGATAACATAAGTGCTTGAGACCTCGGACCACTTTTGTTGCTCGACGTTGTGGTGCTTCGAGTATTCGTTGGTCCTTCAGCAACCAGGGACCCCAAGCCTGGTTGCAAACTCCAAGTGAGGTCGAAGAAAAGCGTTGAGGAGGAGGCGGAAATTGCTAGGGTCAATTTGACCGAAGGCTTGTTTCAGCAGTTCCACCATGCGGTTAGCATCATCACCAACAGCTGCTTTCCGGCAGCAAGCGGAATCGGGAAGACTCGTCTGGGTAATGATACTTAAGTCTCTTTCGGTTGAAGAGATCTGGAGGATAGACGCTCCCAGGAAATATATGGGAAAAAGCGGAAGGGCGGGTAGAAAGGACGCGACATTTCGAAGCGTTAACTGGATGGTTGTTTTCTATGGACCACTGTCGTAGACGGTCGAGGTCCGTCTAAAGGGCGTGGGCATCGTCCGGAACGTTAATTGTACGCCACAGCTTCGCGTCATCCGCATATAGCAGCAACGAAGACTCCACTTGCGGTGTGACGTCATCATTGAAAGCTAGGAAGAGGTGCGGTCCGAGAACAGACCCCTGTGGAACTCCGCTTGTAGCAAGGATGCGGGGAGACAACGCTCCATCGACGCGTACTTGGATGGTACGGTTTTGGAGGTAGTTCCGGACCCAGTCCATCAAGGCCCATAAAACGCCAACAACAGTTTCTGTAGTAGAATATTGTGGTCGACCTTGTCGAAGGCTTTGGCTTTGATATGCGTTTTTAGGCCAGAGTCGGCAGCAGTCGTCCAGCTATCCCTGGCAAGTAGCAGGTTACTCAGGCACGACTGTTGCCGCCGGAAGTCGTGCTGATAATCAGAGAGCAGTTTCTGGGCCTCCGTATGGTCCATTAAAGCGTATGCGACGATCGATTCCATCACTTTGGAGATCGTAGAGTGGAGGGTTATCGGTCGGTACTTAGCCGGTTCTCTGCAAGCACCGCCTTTGTAGATTGGCGTAATAGTCCCACATTTCTAATCATTGGGAACTTCACCTTGCGAGAAGAAGTGGGTGAACAGCTCCGCTAGGGGTAGAGCTAGAGCTGCAATGCACGCTCACAAGAGCCTTGGGTGGAAATCATCAGCTCCAGGAGAGGCCGTTAGCCGCATGGATTTGAGTTTCGCCAGGACCTCCGGAGTGAACTGAACACTCGTCAGCGAAGTTGGGAGTGAGACCGAAGAAGGTACTATCGTTGTATGCATTGATGGAACGGAGAATATGGATGCGTACCGCTGGCACAGGACTTCTGCTGCCTCGTTCGCTGACTTTGTGAGCCCTGTGGTGGTAGTCAGCACGATGACAACGTGCTTGACTTGTCGAAGACTATTGACGTGACTATACAAGTCTTTGGGATTGGGTGAACATTTACGCATAAGCTGACACTGATGCTCACTCTTATCTTCGCGTACAAGATGGACGCATTGGTTACGGATGGATCGGTAATATTCCCACTGAGTAACCGTTGAATGGGAGCGATAGTTTCTTCATGCCGTGTCCCTGGAACCACTCCACTTCCGTGTACGACTTCAGCTGAGTGCTGGGCGTCTCTTCCCTATAGAAACTTGTTTGCAGGTCGTGGTAGTGGAGCAGAGTTCACGTACGGTAAGGCAAAAGGTTGACCACACGCTGTCGGCACTCGATTGGGGCTCGGGTGACCAGCTATTAGCGGAAATGAGGAGGTTCAACTTTCTGTAATCAGTCCAGCGTTTTGTATAAGTTGGCGTGCTGACGGGTTTTCCGACGCATATGAAATCGAAGCGGAGGACACAGTGGTCGCTGAGCCCCAAAGGGGCCTCATACTCAACGTGCTCAACCATCAGTTCTTCGTTAGTGAGAATGAGATCTAACATGGATGGTTGGTTGTTGGATCGGAATCTGGTCCGTTGATAGGTATGGTTGTACAACGGGGCCGTGTGAAGAAGATCAATGAGGCCTGATGCAAAGGAGTCAGTAGACGGGACAGAGAGAAATAGACGGGGCAGGTTGGAATCTCTCATGATAAGAAAGTGTGTGCGCTTGTGGGATAACATAAGGTGGACCTCGTGCAGTAGTCGTGCGTCCTTCTCGAGGGAGTGGTTAGGGGGACGGTAAATGATACCAAGACAGCTGGAGTGTTTGGCGGTTAGTGCGACCTCGCACCACATAATATCTGGAGACTGGAGGGCAGTATTTGTTAAGATGCTACAACTGAGAGAGATGTGGTAGTACAGTGCGACACCGCCACCTGGGGTCGCGCGGTCAGAGTGGAGAGCTGACATGTGAGAAAATTGGATTTCACCCTTGACTATGTCTTCGGAGAGTCACGTTTCCGTTATGGCTATTAGGTCCGCTGGCGTTGACAAAAGTCGGGATTGAAGTTCTGGAAGTTTAGGCATGAGGTCCTGTGCGTTCGTTAGATACAGGCGAGGGCCGTTTGAGTGATGAGTGCGGAAGTAACTAGGGTGCTGCCGATCAACAGATGACCGGCAGTTGGTAGTTGGGGAAGCGAGGTGTGGGTCGTCGGAACACAGATGGGTGCTAGCGCCTGGTTCGTTGAAAGGCTGAAGGTTGGAATGTGTAGGTGAGGAGATCACTTCTGGCAGTGAAGCAGTTGGTTCGGTGCTGGACCGCCTGAGGATGGTTTGGTCAGAGTGTGTCGGAACCGAGGGGGCTGCTGCTACGGGTCTGTGGGAAGCTGTGCACCTCGGCACCGGGTGCCCATCAGAACGCGGACGGATACCTGGTGGTGCTCGTCTTTTACTAGCATACCAGATGGTGAGGGCATCGATTACCATTCTAGCGGTGCGGAATGTCATTTTCAGGAGATGGTGGGCTCTTCCTGTATGACTTGCTGGACGAGGTAGGTGGTGAACGTCCGTTGTGATTACGTTGACAATATTTAGTGTCTGCTGAAGGAGCCGCTTTGATTACAGTCATGCTGTTGTTTTTGTTGTGAGGTCGCCTCAGGGGCGCACAGTTCTGAAACGCCGTGCACTGTGATATAGCATGGTTGAGCGGGTGGCGTCAGTTGCTGCCTGCGCGCAGCATGCTTAGTCCAAGCGATGTCGGGGAAGATACGAATACGGTAAATGCCGAGAGCCGCATTGTTTCGAAGTAAGTGTGCTGACAACAGGACATCCTCCATAGCCGGGCGTGACTGCAAGTCAACACGCAGAAGTCTTGGCTTACCGGCGCTCAGGGATGAAGGGTGGCAAGTCAGTCTTGTGAGACTAATGAGTTTGGTTTCAGGGAGGTTTAACGCGATACAGATCGAGCTCCACATATTGGAATCACGAGAATATCGTTTCTGAAGTTGCGGGTCGTTAGACTCTAGCACATTTATGCATATGACAGAATTAGGATGGGGGGTACTCGTTATTCGCTTAGACGAACGCGGATGAGGGCGGTAGCAAGCTTACTTGTTGAGAGGGCCTTCGACGGAAGCATTGGACGTCGGCGAGGGTTGGGCAAATCGGCAGTTTGTAACGGTGAGACGATAGGTGATTCAGGAAGGCTGGGAGGTTGCTGTCGTCATTTGATTAGGCCGTCGACTTTCCGCAGTAGGCTCTGTAGCTGTTCTTCCAGATTAAGCAAGCACACTTCTGAGCGAGTATTGTTGCTAGGCTACACGACGAATCGTGGTGACCGGGGCGACTGCGTCTGCGACTGGTTGTTACGCGGTGTAGAGGGTGGGTTAGTAGGAGACGAGATTACAGAACCAAGAATAGGGCAAGTCGTGGAGGAAAGTTCGCTAGGGATATCGCGCCCGTAATTCGCAATGAAGGGAACGCAAACCGGGCAGATGTGCCGCAGGACCGTTTGTGGATGCAAGCGACAGCATTCGATGTCAGTTGCATGGAGCGTATTGTCACAGAGAGCGTGAACGTGGGGCAGACAGATCGAGCCTGTGATGGCTTTGGATCGAGGTCTACACTCTGAGTGCAAATGAAGCAAGTGTTCAGTGGCCGCATTGG